AGGCAGTCGTACCGTCGACTCAGTGCAGTTGCACTGAGGTCCTACCTGTTGACCTTGCCACTTGTCTTCGTCTGAAAACGTGGGCCTACCTTAGACTCACCACTTGACCACTTGCCGACCTTCTAGAAGGACTACAGCTAGGCCTCTGGACTCTACTTGGACTCCTACCTTACAGGTCTACAGTTCGAATCTCCCTRCAGCCTACAACCTACGGTGACCTACTTACCACTGGCTATCGTGCAGGTCACGGGTTCAACTCCAGGGAACTGTGCAGATACTGTACACATGTAAGCTGAGGTCAAGGGATCGACCCCTGGGATCTGCATCGGCTACTGCCAAAGGTGAAAACTGTTTCAATATTTACGAGAGGACTATTTTTGTCAAATTATGCATGTGGGGTATCAGGCAGGTTCAGCATGCCAGTTGGTTACAGGGTAACTATAGCCTTTCCCTGGCTTCTTCCGGAAGCAGCAGCTCAAGAGTCAGTTGAGCCCAGGGCACGTACGGTTGAGGCCCTGGGCATGAGCCAAGAGAAGGCAACACATCACAGAACGGCCACGGGCCAATGAGAACGCAGCATCTCTGTCACACACTGGCCAGCAGCCAATGAGATCACTGCAAATACTTGTAAGCCTCGTGGGCTACCTGGGTGTGCCGAACTGTGAAGGGCCCAGGCCCGTAACAGCAACTGGGGGCCGGGGCGCAGACACTGGGTCCCGACTGGAAGCTACTGGAGCTGGTTCAAATATCACCGATCATTGGCGCTGGCGTCTTGGTTACTTGGTGTGCTGACGAAGCTTCTACGCAATGAGGATACTTTGACGCTGGCTGTATTGGTCCATCCTGGGTACAGGGGAGTGTGACCGGAAGGCTGTGGCAACAACATTGTTTGATGTGGCAACAGTGGATGTATGTGGAATGATGAGAGCATGCTGACATGGCATTTTGGCTGAGGTGGCACTCCGTTATGTCATGTGGTACCGAGGCTATGACCGGTCATCAAAATGCACGTCGGCTCAATTGGTGAGAATTTGAGAAATCTGTGGTTGGGGGCAGCAATCTTCAGGTATGTTGTTCCGATACCTTATCTTCCCATCTCAATCTCTTCTTACCGTGAGGAAGAGAGTTCGGCTTGAGAGTCTTCTGGTCGGTGAGGAGTCCTGAGCGCTCTACCTCGAAAGTCGACATTCTTCCTGATGGCACATCTGGTAGGAGAGGAAGGTGCCTCTAAAGGGCCCTGGTCAAAGCACGGGTCACGGTCACCATGCCAACCCCGGGGAGTAGAGCACGCAGGCTTTGCTGCTTTGTCCTTTGAGCTCTTTGCTGCGTTAAAGAGGGATCGTGGACTGACCAGTCCTATGTGAGACGCGTACCAGGCCGTCTATAAAAAAACCCTCTGGTGGGGATCTGACACCTGGCTGTGATCGTCGTCCTGTTTGTGACGTTAAATAATTCCTGAGGACTTCGGGACCTGTCCTTAAATTGCCTCTTGATCAGCCAGGTTGTGGGTGTAAGGTTCGTAGCACACTAGGGAGATACAACATGGAGAGATACGACCTTTCATACTGATGATGACGTCTGCCTTGGACATGATGATGAACAAGATGAGGTGGATGTGGTCAAGTACTTTGCAAATCTTTGCGCAGTCTACGTGGATGGGGTAAGCGGTGATGATGAGCAAGATCAAGAAGACGTCGGCGGCGGCGAAACTGGCCAGCAGGATGATGAAGACGTCATCGGCTACTTTGCAACCATCAATTCGGTATGTGCGGAGTGTGAATTTGATAGTGATTATCAGGGCAGCGGGTGGGAATATGCCCTTAGTGATGCAGGCGGGTGGGAAGTGGAGTGGGGGCAGATGGCAGCGGCGATAGCACCGGCGACGTCAACATCATACAACAGCATACACAAAAGCGATTGCAGTAAAAACAACGACAATAACAACTCTTGTTGCTGACGATGACCCTCAACCTCAGCAGGCCATTGAAGACAGGGAATATGTTTCCCTTCGTGAGGCAGGCGAGTTGGGGGGGGAGGCAGGGCTGATGGCTTCGATGGTGGAGATGGGAGAGAACGACGTCAGTGACAACAACAATAACAACAACAACAACAACAACAACAACAACAGGCTCAACAACAACAACAACAATAACAACAATAACAAAGACGGCGGAAACAGCAACATGGTTGAGATGGGAGAGAAAGACGACAACAACCTCCTGCCTGTGGTAGGGCTGAAGACTATGGCTAAGATGGACGAGATGGGAGACGGCAACAACCTCTTGCCTGTGGTAAGGCTGATGACTACGGCTGAGATGAACGAGATGGGAGAGTACATCAACAACAACAACAACAACAACAACAACAACAACGACAACGACGAAGACAGCAGCGGCAATCATGGCAGCAGCTGGGCAGGGTGCGAAGATGGGGGTGGAGACCATGGCAGAAGCAGGGCACGGAGTGATGTTTGCGCATCCATGATCGCCATCAGCACGGCGGGAGATAACAACGATGGTGATGACAACATCAACAACAACAACGACAACAACAACAACAACAACAACAACGACATCGACGACGACAACAACAACAACAACGACATCGACGACGACAACAACAATAACGACGAAGAAGACGGCGGCGGCAATCACGGCAGCAGCAGCGGGGCAGGGAGCGGTACTTGTGCATCCATGTTCGCTATCAGCGCGGTGACCAGTGCCGTGATCGGTGGCAAAAATAGGTCTACTACCCTCTCGACCCCCAACCTTGATATGGAGTTGAACGCTTTTGTCCGGCAGAGGGGAGGAGTAGGATAGACGATGGTGGTTGCTCTCGCGAGGTATCTTTGTTGTCTGGCAGACGGGTGGAGTTGGATTGTTGTTGGTGGTTGGTGCTACCTCTCCCCAGGATATCAATTCTTCTGCAGGAGGTCAATCCTTCCCTCCTGCAGGGAAGCAATCAAGGCCCCTGTTCTTTTCACATAATTGTATAGTACGATGATTTTACATTTGATTGAATAAGGGATGTTGATAGGATTTCACGCTTATGGTTGATTGATTTTGATTGATTCTGAGCTTTCACATCATAGCACGGGTAGGGTTTGGTGGTCTGATTCATTGTTTCAGATCACATACATCTTTGTTTGGTGTTTCACATATCCGCACACCACTGTTTAGGGATGCTGGGCCTGACTCCCAGCCGATATACAATACATCTTTGATTGCAGACGCTGGACCTGATTGGTCTGATCTCCAGCTTACATACATCATATCAAAGTTAGGGTTTCGTCTCCTGGCCTGATAGATAGGTGTGGGACTGAGGCCTTAGTTCGTTTTGAGAATATATAGATCTGATGGGCAGGGGTCTACCAGATCTGACACATACTGATTAACGAACATACATAGGATGTCGGAGATATCAACACATTCCGGTGTAGGGGTGCTGGCCCCGATTTCCAGCCGATACATCATATCAACGCTAGGGCTTCGTCTCCCGGTCGGTTAGTTAGGACTGGGATGATGTCTTAGTTTGTTTCTTGAGAATTGTAGATCTGATGGATAGGGTATTACCATCATCTGACATATATTGACTCACGAACATACGTAGGAAGTAGGAGATATTAATACATCTCTGTACAGGGACGCTGGACCCGATTTCCAGCTGACACATCCACATCATTGTACAGGGACGCTGGACCCAATTTCCAGCAGGTGTAGCTCCCCACCAATAGATGGAGCCCTCGACGCTGGAGCCTACTTAACGGGGATGCTCTTATCACCTCGTTAAGTAGGTTTCCTGTATACGGAGTAAAAAAAAAAAAAAAAAAAAAAAAGGATAAAGAAAGTGCAGAGCTGGCCATAAACGGGTTCCTGGCACAGGGGTGGGCCGATATGCACACCTTAGACACCATTGCTTGATGATGCAAAACAGAATCGTCGGACACAGGGGAGGGAAGGTTCCAATTGGTGCTCGGTGCTCGCACATAATCATTGTTGTTTCCATTCTGCATACATCTGCGCAATGATTTTATTTTTATTTTGATTAGTTGATGTGTTTACAGACGGCCGACACCTGATAGACAACAATTGATTAGTACTGTAGTAGTCTGCCATTGTCGGGAACTGTTCTGTTTATTGCTGCTCTTTGAGAACTAATCAATGTAAAAGTAGGATCATTTGCAGAGTCTGTATATTTTATGTTCACACCGCCTGAACTGCGTTCGGATAATCGGACCAAATATTTATTTAATTTTATTTATTTTTCAAATTGGACAGATCCTATGTTGTGGTTGGTTACAACGAGGACACTAGTGCAGACAGTGGTCTGCTATAGCTGACGAGCGGATGTAGTAGGAGGAGAGAGTTGACATCAGGGGTCGACAATGCCTAACATGGCGCAGTACCATAAGGGAGCCCGCCGTATACAGGTCTTACTACCATGTGGGGAAGGTACTGTGTGCAGAAAGCAGAGGGCAGTGTTGGGTCTGGGAGGCAGCAGCAGCAGCAGCGGAGCAGACAACAGCAAGGGCTGCCACAGCAGCAGCGGCCGTGTGGGCCTGGCCGATAGGCCCTACAAACTGTATCACAGTCTTCCTCTGCATGTGTAGGTTAGACAACTCTCTTGGCAGATGGCTAGCTCGCAGCTTAGGCAGCCACTCCAGCTCACTCAGGCCTTCCTGGAGATTCAGAAGGCATTAGACATCCGTATTCAGCTAGATGCCGAAGTCAGTGATGTAGAGGACTGGGAAGCCATACTAGTGAGTAGGGAGACAATGACGAGGCTAGGCCAGAGGGAATGGGTGAGAATGGGCTCAGAGACGCAGAGAAGGCTCTATGGGCATGCAAAGTAGGCATGTAGGAGTTCATGTCCGCGTGGGAAAACACAGGGACATCTTTCCTTTTCAGCCAGGTTCTGATACGGAGTGTGCACAGAGGGAATGAGAAAAGGTTTTCATCCGTAGGTATGTTGCCGCGTGTCGGGACTGCAAGGCAGCCTATGCCTGTCTCATCGTCGTTAATGAGAGTGCCGTCGGTGTCAGGTCTTTCTATTCCTAGGTTTGGTATTGGTCCATCAGACGGGTTGTTAGCAGCAGGTATGCAGGCTTTTTTTTTTTTTTTTTTTTTTTTTTTTTGGTTAAGGCCCATGTGAAAGGCTTCTATCCTGGTGGTGGTAAGAGAACCATCAGGATTGAGGCTTTGCCTGGCGGGCCGCTCCATCTATTGGTGGGGAGCATCACCTGCTGGAAACCGGGTCCAGCGTCCCTTGGATACATCTTTACAAACAATACATCATTGGAAGTGACGCCATTGTGCTGGAAACCGGGTCCAGCATCCCATATCCGAACTCTACCCATATCTAGCCTTTACCTGCAGCACCGTCGGGGACTGGGGGGAGACCCACCGGGGGGCACCGGTGGAATCTCCCTCCCTCCCCTAACTCCTGCCACCCTCCTACTATCCTCGTGGCGCCCAGCGTCCTCTATACAACAATGTTTCAGAGAAAAGCATGTCGAAACTAGCGTGTCCAACTAACAGTGAAACTTGTGGAATCAATCATGCAACAAAAACTCAGAGAAAGCAGTAAAGTGAGCCACCCGACCACTGCAGTGCTGACTTTAAGTCCCCAGATATTCCTCCAGGGCCAGCGGGTGGGGGGGGAAGGGATCACCAAAATCCTGTGCGGGTCTCAGCTGTTCGCCGGGATCCACCTTGGTCCAGTCCTTGAAGTGAAGGTGGTAGTCTCGTTCCTCTCCTTGTTCTTCATTCTGCTGGCCCAACCTATCACCTGTCCAGCTCACCTTCGCAACCCAGCCCTCCCTCTCCCCTCCCAGCCAATTCTCACAGAATCGGGAAATATTATTCTTAATGTCCCTTCTGCTGTGCAGCTGATCCAGATTCTCCTTAACTGTCTGCCATTGCGCCGCTATCTCATGCTGGAAGAGCAGTCTAATCTGTTCTGTGACTTCCCCCTCCTCCACCCTTGCCCCTTCCAGTTTCAGGATGCATCGTCGCCACCATATGGTCCATAGGATGGTGCGCCTACCAAGAGAGAACATATTGGCTACAAAGATGTTGTCGTGAGAGGGGGGGTAATGCCCTAACAGGATCACTCTCCAGTCCCATGGCCGTACGGAGCCTGGGACGATGTGCTGCCAGATCCTATCCCACCACCTCCATAACAGGACTGCTCCAAGGCACTGCAGGAAGATGTGCTCGATCGTCTCGGAGCGCCTGTTTCCGGGGAAATTCTGTTGGCAACCTCGGCACCAGGGAAGCGCCCTTCCTTGCTGTTCGAGCTGTGTATGATCGATCAGCCAGTCATTGGTCGGCAGGCAGCGATGAGTGATTTGCCACTGGAGGCAGAAATTTTCGCTGGCTTTTGCTGGTACCCGCTGAACCATCGGATGGATTGAAGGGCGCTTCGGTCTACATTGAGATGGCGCTGCCATCTGTCTGCCACCACCTCGTTTAGCCTGCGCTTGGGCCTGAGCATTCGGTAGACAGTCTTTGTTTTTAGGGTGGCCAGATGGACTGTTTGTTGTCTGACCAATCTGCCATTCGACGAACATCACCATTCTTGGGGATCAAAGGGGAGATTCCCGATTGGGCTCTGAGGTCGGTACGCTTTCCACTCTTTCCCTTCTTCAATTACCCGGATACGATAGACTTCTGGTTTTTCTTTCCAGAAGAAGGGTTGTCTACTTCCTTGCAGCCGCCCGGTTGCTGTGATAGTGTAGCCTTCGATTAGGACTTGTGTTTGCCCTACTGTGTGGACCTGGCCTACTTGTGTAGTGTGGCCAGGTAGCCCCACCCAATCGCGTGCTTCAAGCGTAGGGCCTTTCTTAAGTGTGGCATACCATTGGATGGGGAAGCTTTCGATGAGTTCTTCATTGTGGACTCGAGTGAGTGGCAGTAGCGCAGGCAACTTCTCATTCTTGCTGCACTCTTTCATTCTCCCCTTTCATCATCCCAAAGATCCCCTACCCTGAGAACCCCATGTTTCACCCAAATTTTCCATGGAGTGTCCGAACTGTTCCTAACCTGGCCGAGGGGGTCTGTAATTAGTCTATTATCGAACAGTGGTTGTCTGATTATCTCTTCCCATCTGTCCCGGGTGGGGCGGTCGGGGAGTGGGAGCTTCCTCCACGTGTGCAGGAGACGTATCCAGTGTTCCTCTACTGTGTCCCCATTTGAATATTTCCTGGGGAGTCTCCAATATCTGTCCTCGAGCCATATCAGAGGATCGATTTCCGGTAGGGTTGCCGGAGCCAAGGCCGCAATTTGCGCCAGTGCCAAAGGGACCCAAGGGGAGGAGGGGTCGAAAATAACCTGTTGTATCCAATGGATGCTTAAGGCCTGAAATTGTGTGGGCAGGTCCACTATTCCAAGTCCCCCACCGGCCTTGGGCTGGATAACAGAGTCCTATGCCACTCGGCTGATGGCATGGGTGTTACTGCTATCCCCTCTCCATAGGAAGGCCGCCAACTGTTGCTTGAGCGTCTTAAGCCCCCCTTTGCTCAGAGGCCATAAGATGGCTCTATACCAAAGGGTGGCCAGCACGACGTTGTTGATAACAAGAGCCCGCCCTAAGATTGATGTGTGTTTGTGGTTCCATCCTAGGAGTTTGGTCTATGCAGACTTAGAAAGCTTCTTTTTCGTTTTCTCATATGGTTGCTGCTACAGAGCAGCCACATGTTACACAAGTTGTGCTGCAGGCGACAATGCAGAATGGTGGGAAGGACCCATGGGTTCCAAATGCGGCATTAGCACAGGTGGAGTCCTTCAACAAGTATAGGAAGGACAATGCCCTCAACGTTTGGTAGAGGCAGGTGCCGACGCACGATAAGAACGAAGACAGACGTCAGAGGAACGACGTAATCGTTGCAGCAGCAGTAAGGTGGTTAGAAGGGTTAGTACAACATGATGGACATGACCGGGCTTTGACTATTGGACTGAATCAGATGTCTGGTGTCTTAG